TTACTCCTGCCACGGTGTGCCGCCAAAAAATAATATTTAAATGTGAATGTTTTTTTATTTACAACAATTTATTTTAAAACTTTAACCGATGGAATACTGAGGTCTGTTAAAGTTGTAATAGTTTTTATACACTCATTTAAATTTCAAAACGATTTTTACTAAAACTATTAGGCTATAGCACATATTAGAATGTACAAATATAACAATGTATTGCTATTTGAAGTAGGGATTAAATATTAAAAATTATATCTTATAACAATAAATAATATTTATAAATAGGTACTTCTCAATCGCGATAAAAGAAGTACGTTAAAAATGACTTAGTTTCCTGGTGCCTGAAGGCCGAGAAAAATATAATTTATATTGTAATTTTAAACATTATTTATGTACTAAAGAAAACATAGTAAATATTATTAAAAAAATTATACTTTGAATTATAGCAAAAAATGAATGCTTTAATAACAAAAGAAAAAATGAAAAGTGGTATCCAGAAGTATAGAGACTACTTATGCAAACGAAATAAAAAAATATATTTAATAATAATAAAAAAAATTACTAATACTATTAAATTGATAAATTTAGTGTATTAATAATTTAAATTAGTGGTTCTCAAACATTTTTTTTCGCGTACCATTTGAGTATATTATCAATCAGTCACATACCATTAATGATTAAAAATAAAGCCATATAAACTTTACATAGTTAAATATATTTATTTTAAACAAAAAGGCTGTGAAATACTGAAATAAAATTATTATTTATTTATTTACAAAAATTTATTAGTGTTTTTAAATTAATATATGAGTTAAATATTGAATTTTTAATTTCCGTTCTACCACCATACGGCCTTTCATGTACCACCATGTAGTTTTTCGCGTACCACAGTTAGAGAACCGCTGATTTAAATGCATATTGAATGCAAAAAATTGATTTAAGTAATGGAAAACTATTTACTTAACCGAGAATACTTAATTATTGTAAGTTTAAAAAAGGAACGAATTAAATATAAAAAAATAAAATAGTAACTAAAAAATATAAAATTAATTGATTTAATTATAATCACAGTTGTTATTCAAAAGAAAAACAACGTACCAGTGGGAGTAAGTAGGTATGTATTTGTTTATCGTAAGTTCGTTTCACTCTAGATCGGCTTCTAGATTTCGGGTGTTTACTATAATATAGAAATAAATACAATGTTTTAATAATTAATTACATTTTGAGAACTAAAAAAAATAAATAATTTTTTTATTTTATTACTATTAACATACACAATGGGCAGGAATTATAAAAAATATAATTTGTAAGAATGACAATATTTAACAAACGTGAATTGAACAAAATAAATAATATTGGACATAGACTATACCTCATAGATTATGTACATTATCAGGTTATGGAGTATGGATTATGTCTCATCGTTGCTCCTGTCGCCGTATGCCGCCAAAAAAATATTATTTAAATATGAATGTTTTTTATTTACAATAATTAATTTTTATTATGAAAAACATTAATCGATGAAATACTAAGATCTGTTTAAGTTGAAAAAGTTTTTATATACCCTCATTTAAGTTTCAGAACGATTTATACTAAAATTATTATTCTATAGCGCATGTTAGAATATAATTATCTACAAATACAACAATGTATTTTTATTTGAAATATGGATTAAATGTTGAAAATATATCATATTTTACAACGTAAAAATCATATTTTTAAATATTCTTCAGTCGCGATAAAATAAGCATGCCAAAACAAGTTTCCTTGTGCCTGGAGGACGGGGAGCGTATTACCAAACCAGCTAGAGCTCCAGTGCCGTATACAAATACGCTGTTTTAATTGGTTTATTTGAAAAAACCACGCAAATATATTTTTCTTTTATCAATTAGGTACAATTGATATCGTTAATATAATAATAACTCGTATAAATAAATAAACAGATACTAATTTCTTAAAAAAAAAATTTTAGTAAAAACGTTAGAAATAACGTTAGAGAGTAGGGAGTTTTGTAACTTAAAGAAATACGATTTTGTCCAGGTTGATATGTTACACACTCGTTATCATAATGTCATTTAAAATTAATACCTATAACAATATCACAAAAATGTACCTATACATTATAACCAAATTCTTAATGTAATTAATTAATATCTAATTTATAATTTGATGCTATATACCTAAGTTGATTTATTAATTTGTTATAAGTCAGATATATTAAAACCAATCAAGTAATATATTATTTAAATGCAAATTAAATAAGTTGTGAGATATATTTAAAAACAATACTTTTATACTGTGTAGGGTAATTTTTCACAAGAATATTATCAATCACTATAATTAAAAAAAAAAAAAAGTACTAACCAATTTACTGGTTGCTTATCTTCGATTGATATTTTATTAAAAAAAAAAAAAATACTAGGAAGAATGATGATTATTTAAAGTATTCTTCACCACTAAATGCTTTAATCAAAATTGTATGGACTCATAATCCTACCGTTGACTCATGTAATGCTTTAACATTTTTAAGAACAATAAGTGAAGTAAGAATGTTTTATAATTTATAAATGTCTTTTACTCAAAACAGAAATTGTTTTATTTATATCTTATTTTATTTTGTTTAAGAAAGTTGGCTAAACCCTATTTGATAAAAGAAAAATATATTTTCGCGGTTTTTTCAAATAAACCAATGAAAACAGCGTATTTGTATACGACGATGGGGCTCTAACCCAGAGGTTCCCAACCAGGGTGCCACGGCACCCTAAGGTACCGCGATATAAAATTTAGGATGCGGCAAAAATATTTGAAATATATATTTATTTTTAAGCGCCTTCATGAAAAATATAGTACTGTGAGTAATAAAACAGACTATACTCTATGTCTATAGTATAAAAACTATTGTGTATAGTTAATTATGTATATAAAATATAATTTAATGAATTAATTATTAAAACATATAATTTTTACATAGTAATACTGAGATGTTCAATTTATTTTAATTTTCATACTGGTTCGATTGCTATCGATTTGATGTGAACTGTTTTAGAGTTATTTACAGTCAAATACTTGTTACTTTGTCTTATCTTTATTATTTATTAATGCTAAATAAAACCGAAGTTACAAAATATAAATTTAAATATATGATATATTAGTATTGTGTATTCAGTATAAACTATAGAGTATAAAGCATTGGCTATAGGGTGCCTCCAAATTTTTAAAAAATACTAAAGGGTGTCGTGAGTCAAAAGAAGTTGGGAACCTCCGCTCTAGCCGGTTTGGTAATACGCGGCCGGGGAATATATAAATTATGTCATAATTTTAAACATTATTTATGTACTGAAAAAACATAAATAAATGTATTAACAACATTATATTTAAATTTTTAATAAAAACGAATACTTTAATAACAAATGAAAAAATGAAAAGGGATCTAGAGATTACTCATGCAGGTGAAACACAAAAATATATTTAATAATAAAAAATAAATATCATACCAATTCAAATAAATTGAAATTTAATTTATAAATTTAGAATATTAATAATTTAACTAAATAAAGAAAGGAGAAAAATGTATTTAAGTAATGGAAAAATATTATTTACATAACAAAGAATACTTAATTATTTTAAGTAAAATAAGGTTATTTAATGGATTAAATATGAAAAAATTAAGTCGAAGCTTAAAAACATAAATTTGATCAATTTTGTTATAATTAAAGTTGTTATTCAAAATAAAAACGACGTACCGTTATTCCTGGGAGTAAGTAGATAAGTAATTGTCACTAGTAAGTTTATTTCACTTTTAATCGGCTCCTAAATTTCGGCTGTTTACTCTAATAAAAAGAAAAAGAAATAATAATTAATTTTTTTATTTTATTAGTATTAATATATATAATGGGCAAGAGTTATAAAAAACATAATTTGTAAGAATGACAATTATTAACAAACGTGAATAGAATAAGACAAGTAATATTAGACATAGATTATCTGTCTCATCATTGCTCCCATCACAGTAGAGCGCCAAAAAATATTATTTAAATTTAAATGTTTTTTATTTATAAAAATTTATTTTAACACATTAACCGATGGAATACTATGATCTGTTAGGTTGTAATAGTTTATATACCCTCTCATTTAAGTTTAAAACGATTTTTCCTAAAACTATTAGGCTATAGCTCATATTAGGATATAACAATGCATTGTTATTTGAAATATGAATTAAATATTAAAAATTGTGTCTTATAACAATAAATGATATTTATAAATACTTGTCAATCGCCATAAAAGAAGTACGTTTAAAAGGGCTTAGTTTTTTAATTTATTTGTTATTAATATTAATACTCATATACTCTTGGCAGTAATCATAAAAAATGTAATTTGTACGAATGTAATGATTTAACAAACCGAAATAGAATATGACAAATAACATTGTACATAGATTAACTGTCTCATCATTGTTTCCATTACGGTTTGTTAATCCGTGTGCCGCGGAATATTATTTAAATGTAGAAGTTTTTTTTTTAGGTACAACAATTTATTTTAATTATAAAAAGACATTAACCAACTTAATACTAAGGTCTGTTGTAGGTTTAATAGTTTCTATTTACCCTTACTTGAATATCGTTTCGATTTATTTATTTTTAAATATTTCTAACTATTTTTCTTTAGCGTGTGCGAGAATAGAAGGATCAATATAGTGATTTATTTGTTATTCATAACATGGATGAAATATTTCTCAATCAAATTTTTTTGAAAATTCTGATGCTTCACGTTAATATATCCAAGCAAGTTGTTAGACTTTGTGTTACCAATGTCTTCATTTGAAGAGGTTTTCTTTTCTTTTTTTATTCTTTCCTCGACCCTGCTGTATATTAAGTTACCCAGAACGCCACTGCGCGTCTTTTTAATGTCGTGTCCTTATCGGTCCAATTAAAATTTTTGACGTATTTCTAATATGGATATAATTTATTATCAATAAGCTCATTGTTTTATTATTTTAATCATGAAGACTAGGTATATATATATATATATATAGATAAATATCTAGTTTTCATGATTTTATTATTAATCAATTATCAATCAAGTACTTTAATAATAAAGGATAAATTTCATCATCTAAATACTTTTTTCATTTGATTTATTATATTTTATAACATGAATACATATTATGTACAGTATTGTCAGTACTTATACGTACCTACCTGTAGTGATACAGTACCCTTTTTGTGAAATTACATAAATCAACAAAAACATGACAAGTAGTTAGACTAATTTTAAATATGTCCTTCAATTTTGAATATTAAAAACAAAATGAAACAGAGAACATAAACGCAAATAAATAATTTTGACATGTCTTTCAAGCATCATTTGATGATTCAACAGCAAATAAAATATCTATCCATGAACGATATGAACATAACGACCATGATGAAAAAATTTAACTGAATAAGGATGTTTTAAATTTTAATATACAGTCTGATGATTTGGATGACATTAATTTGAGTTCAAAGCAACCTAAATTTCAAATAAATAAAAAATACTTAAATAATAAATTAATTGTAATTAGAATAAAACAAGAAATAACTCGATTCTTGATTAATAAATAATATATTAGATAGTTTTAATATATTGTGTTACATTATATTTTAATCAATATTTTTATACTTTTATATTAATATTAATATTTTTTTCGTGTTCAAATTATAAATTTTAAAGAATTGTATTACTAAAATATAGTAGTATGGATGATTTTTATAACTTTGTTAATTATGTAGAAATGGTAGATGAATATTTCGATGAATTTGATGTTGAACAAATGCCAAGAAAGTATATTCCTATAGAAGACCCGTTTGAAAAATACAATAACTATACATTTTTGAAACGTTATCGTTTTCCAAAACTGATTGTCATGGATCAGTTAGTAGATTTATTAGGTATTCAAATCAATCATCGAGGATTGCCTATAACTCCCATTCAAGTTATTGATAACATTACGATTTTATACAATAGCAAACTTTTAACCTATCTAATTTTAATTTGTAAAAACTATTGTTAACATTTTTCCTCTTCAAAAATATTAGGAGTACGGACGCGTTTATTTTTCTGAATTTCTTGTCATTATATAAAATATTTTTATTAAATTAGAAATCAAAATTAAATATACAAATTTAAAAATATTAATATTATTCGTTATCCTATGCATTTTCGGTAATATGAACATAGTTACACTGATAACAATGGTTATTATCACATACACTTTACATAACTATTGAATACATAAATATCGTTTATGCAAAACCAACTTATGTGGTACATATAAATAGTTACGGGTTACATATAAATATTATGGATCACTTATATAATGGTCACTTAAGCAATTATATGTGACACATAACAACAGGACTATGCACACCAGCATAAGTCTGCAATCGGTGCGGTTCTGATTTCTTTTTTTTTCAAAATCTCTTTCGTTCCTCTGCGAACTGCAGTCAATGTAAATCGACCGGAAAATGTTATCGATGGCCGTGAGGCAAACGAAAATAAGTAAATTAAATACCTATTGGCGAACTTTTTTATCTTTCACTTTCGTTTTATTAAACGCATACATTATCACATAAAATAAAATAAAAAACAAATGGCTTGTAATAACCACTGTACACAATCTGTTTCGTGTGCGGTTACTATGCTTTACGGGAGGGATAATAAACAATCGCAGTCCAAGTTCACTAATGATTGATTGAATTTAAAACAAACGTAAATAATCGGAAATTTCTGCTTTTTTTAACGATATCTTCTTACAAGTCATGTTCACCGATACATCTTTTGGAAGATAATCGTCCTCAAATTTATAATGCGTTTCAACAATGCGGTACTCTGTTGTGGTTCACGGGATGTATTTAATGATAAATGTCTGAGTGAACTTGATTGTCATGCCGTATTCTGGACGCTATAGTTCGCAGGCCGATATAACCGTAAACACCGTTGGGTGCGGTCTAACGGTGTCCAATGAACGAACGGTAACTGTACATTAAACTATACTCCATCCACTTTATGAAACTTTCAATCAAATACATCCCGTACATTTCATGGTCAGGATGTCCATGTTGTGTAAATATGTATACAGACTGTTCGTTGAACATCTGTTGTAAAGCCATCGGATTTGGCTTGCCCATCAACGCATCAAAATATTTCGTACTGAATCCATTTCCGATCGATTCAACCTTTTCAGCGGCCGTCACGTTGGTCTTGCCCGAGTTGTTCATCATCCCCATATTTGTACAAAGTCGATTATGTTTGTGTTTGACAAGAAAGTTTTCGGTAAAGATGTGCGAAATAATAAACGTCTATCTTCAACGAATGCTAATCATCGAATGATCAAAAATGATCAATGATCAAAAACAATTTGTTGAAGACTTGTAAAATTTACGTCATCATAGATATACTGTATAATATGTATATTATGAAAACTGTACCTAAATATAATAAAATAAATTAAAATAATATGTAATAAAGTATATTTTATTTACTTTATTGAGATTGACAATAACAAAATAGAAACTCGAACATAAAATGTATGTTTAAATATACCAATTTAAAAGAAAATAAGTCAAATTGTACATAGCTGAGTTGGTGTGACGTGTATAGTTTTATTGAAGAATAATAGTTTTATTAAATTACAGTTAGAGCCGATATTTGCCTACGCATTTAGCATGTTTTGCACTTGGTAGGTAGAAAAGCTCCGTTGTACTATCGTTTTACGTTTTTACAGAATATTTGAAATACATTTAAAATTTAGTGCTAAAGTATCGGGTGGTCTTGTTAACCATTAATTCGTATTGATAAATTCGTAAAATAAGCAATGGTAATTCATTAACCTTAGACATAACTAGGGGGGGGGGGGGTAAGAGAAAACTTTTAGCACCCCGGTTTTTTTTTTTAGACGGTGAAACACCATCGATTTTCAGCGGTTTCAGCACCCCCGTTCGCGCCTTCCGCGATACGTGGAATCCCGAAGAAAAATTAAACGAAAATTAAGAAGCGGCATCATCAAATCACGCGCCCGTCACAATCATAGATAATAGAAGAAACAATTCCATATTGCACAGGACAAGAATCATTTTTAAATAAGCATATGCACAGAGATAATTTAATAAATTTAACAATCAATAAATATGTTGACATTCGTATTTTTCACGAAATTAGAAAAATAAATGATAACAATATTAAGGAAAAACGTACCCGAGCTAAGTTAACAAAGCTTATTCATTTTAGTCATGAGTAAATAATGTGTATTAAATATTGTCATTATACCGACTTATGGATCCAAATTATGATTTATATATTTATTTAAGATTCGACATAGGTAATATCATTTTAATTATAAATTATAAGTAAATATAAGTATGATTTTGTTATTCAATATTAATATTAAAAATTAACATTAAATATAAAATATGATGAATAACGAAAAGAACTGAATGTAAAAAACACCTATTATAGTTATTGATTATTTAAATTTACCATTTGACATTTTGATAATTGATAAGACCCCTTGTAACCTCAAAATAAATATTTATTCCCGTGTGATAAGTTGTAATGGCCTATCCATTCTTCTATTATCTATGGGTGCAACAACGTGACACACCGTTGTGTCGCACGAAAATGATAACACGAATAACACAATTATAGCCGTTTGCGGCGCAAACAATATTTAACACAACATTATACATCGGTCCTGCGACGCTGCATCATGGTCATGAAAGTGACATCTAAGACGTTTATACGCAAGACCAAGCGTGGTAATATTCTGAAGGTGAGTGTTTCCACTACTGATGTTCTGGCGCGCGGTTCGTTAACGAATTATTTGCCTAGATTGTTCGTGAACACTACTTAAGGGACGACATAGGTTGTGGTTCATTGGCGTGCAAGAAATGTAAACGCAATGGTGAAAAACCTCTTGAAAAGAATCCGTCTGTTGACAATGACGGTGTACCGGACAAACATTACTTGTTGCTGGACACAAATGTAGTGTTGCATCAGGTAATTATGATCATTACTATAGCATCTATTCATACACATATTAATTGTAAATCTAATATTGTTTTAAAAGTTTTATTTGTTTGAATTAATGTTTTTTTTTTTTTGGTTTTTTACCTGCAGACACTGAGTAGATTTTTGTTATGGACATAGATAAATGTAAGCCCTTATACTATTACAATTACATGGAGTACTACATAAGCATGTGGGAACCACAGATATATACTACAGATATATATCTATGGTGGGAACTTGGACTATAATAACAGATACTAATACGAGCCTGGGTATAAGACTATAGTTAAAAGATTTAAATTAAATTAAAGCTCTATGAATCAATCAATAGAAACAATAGTTAACAGGTGTGGGAATATACATCATATACTAAAATATTAGTGAATGAGCATACAATATGAAATAATTTCACATTTGGATATAATATATAATAAATAGTCCAGGGTTAGGTGCACAGTAATAATTAAGACACAAGTCACATTCTGGATTGTCAGAAAAGAACTCCATGTATGAGAATTATATATCATTAGCTAAATACTGTATTGGCAGTGATGAGAAAGAGAACGACAAGAAGTTCACACAAGATCGGGGTATTAAAGGGAGTCTCAAACAGACTCATATTCAGATGTGTTTTAGTATGATTGTAGCACTTTCACTGCAGTTTAAACTCATAAATTAATTAATTGGACTTAAAATTATTTAGATTCACGAATAAATGTTTTGAACATAGAATATAATCTAATAAACAGTAATTAATTTAATGTTGAATTATTTTTTAAACACCTTTCTACTCATCATCAACACAAAATCTATTGATTGTATGGCATGCAACATTATAGAATCATTGTATATATTATAATTTAATTATAAATGTAAGGTAATATTCTGAATAAATATTCAAATTATGTATTTATTTTTTATAGATTGATGCATTAGAAGATGATACCTTGAAGAATGTTATTATTCTGCAAACTGTTCTTGAAGAAGTAAAACATCTTAGTCATAGTGTTTATAAACGTTTAATGGACCTTATAGGGAATCATTCCCGGTGCTATTATGTATTTGTAAACGTTTATCATAAGTAAGTACAACAATTAAAATTTTCAATATTCATATTTATTGAATAAATAACAAAAAATTGGAAGAAATCTACTTCACTGATCACATTCTTTCTCTGTTGAGTTAATAGTACTTTTCACGTTTATTACAAACTTTTTTTTGTTTGCACTAAGTAATTTGAAAATTATATATTTTCAAAAGTTGTACAAAATATAAGGTATTACACATGACTAGTGTGAGATCTCAAGATAACATATTTTTCAGTTCATATAGTTATTGCAATATTACGCTGTAGCTAAAATTTCCAAAATAGTTAAATATTGTAAATGAGATTTAAGACATTTAAAATAATTAAAAACATTTCTCAATTTGTTGTGAAAAACTTTGTTGTGTGGATATTATTATTAACTATTCATATTTTAAAATATAAGTATAATATAAAATGATAAAAATATTTATAGTCCGAGTTCTGAGCAACACATATGCTTGTTATCAGTATAATACACAATTTTAAAATATCTAGTAACTTCAAACTAGTATGATACGCTAACATTTTTTTTTGCAGATTTATTATCAGTATGAAAAGTATTAATAAAATAAAAATTAGTTAATGGTTAACACTCGTAAATTAATATATAAATAAATAGTTTATATATAGAAATAAATAAATAAATAAATGCTTTGGCTGGAGTATTATGATATTTGTAATGTACAATTGTTTGCAAATTAAAAATTTAATAAAATGTATTATTTAGTAAAAAAAAAAAAAAAAAAGTGCGGTAAAGTTAATTTTTACCAAATATTAATTTTTTGATAATTAAACTTATTTAGTTAAACATACTTAGTGTAAACTTTATTATAATAATTATTTATTTAAATTTAATTTTAATAATTATTTATTCTTGTCTCATCTTTAAAAAGTAATAATACTGTATTTTGTTCATTTATTTTTATTTTTAGGGATACATATGTTGAACGTGTTCGTGGCGAAAGTCCAAATGATTATAATGACCGAATGATTAGAGTTTCAGCTCTTTGGTATAATAAACATTTTGATGGAAAGATAAAAGTATTATTAATATCTAGCGATGAAGCTAGTAAAGCTAAAGCAATTAATGAGGGAATACCTACAATGTCATGTGAGTATTGATAGTTTGGAAATAGAAAGTTAAAATATTACAAAATAAATACAATTTTATTTTTAGTGGAACAATATGTAAAAGGATTAAATAATGTAACATTAACTGATAAGTTGTCCAATCGTAATAGTGTAGTAGAAGAAATAAGTAAAGAGCCAATTTTCCCACCGCATTTAACACCAGCACAAATTCATATGGGCATAAAATCTGGAAAATTATTGCAAGGCACATTTTTTGCATCTAATGATAATTTCCTTGAAGGAAATGTTTTTGTGGAAGGTCAAGAAAAAAATGTATATTGATAAAAAGCAAGAAAATATAATTTCCTTTATTAATATTTTTAGTGTTATTTTAGATATTGTTGCAAGGAAGAGAACATCTCAATCGGGCTATTAATGGTGATATTGTTGCCGTTCAGATGCTTCCAGAAAGTGAATGGAGTGCACCTACTAATTTAGTTATTGCAGATTATGGTAAAAAAAAAAAATTTATTTATTAGTACTCATAATAAATGTATTAAAAACTTAATAGATGATTTGGAATTGGAAAATAATTTAAATAATACTGTACAGCCAAAAGATAAACACCCAACAGGTCGAGTGGTCGGAATAATACGAAAAAAGTGGAGACAATATTGTGGAATTATTCAACACAGTGTTGTTGAAAATGTAAGTTAACATTACTACTTGATGTATTGTTTATTTTGGCTAATACAGGGTCCGACAAAAAAACCTCCCGTATTTAGAGCTTACGCTGTGTGAGTTGTGGTGTTGGTACAACTATGAAGGGGGTATCGATCGATAGCGGTGTACGTGCCATTTTTAGTAGGTGCAATGGCGTGGACTGGTTAACATCATGCTTTTGTTGTAGAGGTTTTTTTTTCCGGACCCTGTTTAAATAATTTTAATAAAGATAAATAATTGTTTATTATATTAAGGGCTTCCACCCCTTATATTTGTTTTAAATAAAAATAAATAAAATACTATATGGAAGTTATATTTATACATATATTACTTATTATCAGGCAACTAGACATTTGTTTGTACCGGCAGAGAAAAAAATTCCAAAAATTAGAATAGAAACTAGACAGTATGATAAATTAAAAGATCAGCGTCTTATTATTGCTATTGATACATGGCCAAGAACTTCAAGATATCCATTGGTTTGTATTTTGTATACAATATTTGATTAATTTAAAATTTTTATTTTAATATAGTTTATAAAATAAATTTATTCTATAATTAATGGTATTAGTTACTTATTGCAGACACGTTATTAAATATTTTATTTTTAACATATTTTTTATTATTTTATTATATTATGTTTGTAGGGTCATTTTGTGAGGTCTCTTGGTAAAATTGGTGAAAGAGAAGCCGAAAATGAAGTTATATTATTGGAACATGATGTTCCTCACAGTAAATTTTCAGATCAAGTTTTGGCATGTTTACCAAAAGAAACATGGACTGTAACTGACTCGGTAAGTGCGAATGCTATTTAATTTTTTAGTACTAAAAATTTGTAAAAAATGCATTGTGAATGTAATATTTTTAAAAATTAAATACCATTACTCATTGTTTATTCAAATTTACAGTTTTACTAATAGACAGAACATACAGTATATTGATTATTGTTTATAATGATTGATGAAGTTATTGATCATGTTCTTGATGAAATTGTTAATGATTAGAGTTAGGATTTATATGCATTAAAAACCAACTATATATGCGCTAAAAAATCTTTAGTAGGCATAAATATATGCATTAAACCTTGGGCCTTACGAACAGTAACTCTGTAACTACTACTATGTTCTGTCTTTTACCATAAGATCTATGTTGTAAACTAAAAAAATATATATTTAGACATTATTGTAACAACAACATATAATTGTTAGCTTATTTACATTATTAACAAAAACAAGTTGTAATTTATATCAAATGTCAAATGGATTTAATATTAAATGCACATCTCCACTATTATTTTCTTCATTGTCTTTACTCAGATTGGAATTATTGTTGAAACTAGAAATTTCAATAAAGTCATCATCAGTACTACTTACTGTTAAATCATGACTGATCATGTCTTCATTATTTCTGTATCTAAAAAATGCAAGTATTAATCATCCATTAATATTATAAACTAAATGGGCTTTCAGTCTATTTTAAAATTTTAAAAACCTCATTAAAATAGGTTGTATTCGAGTTTTATTATCTTGAATATTTCTTCTAGATACATTTGAACAAAGTGTCCACGATGTATAATCTTTAGAAGTATTTGTTGGGTGTACTATTTGTTTGTCTAATATTTTAGATTGTTTTCTTTCTGGTGATAGCTTATTTATTTTACTTATAATTTCTCTTTTTATTTTAGATATGTATTTTAAATTTATCTGAAAAATTATATTTTTAACATGTCCTAAGATTTTTTAAAAAAATTAGTTTAATGTACTTTATTTGTTTTTATAAAGTCTTCTAGATCATTGACATGTTTTGACTCGTTGATGTTACACATTTTAAGAATCAACATATTTTGATAAATCTGAGCAATATTTATTGGTTCTAATTCTAGAATATAGTTTTAATTTCATACTTCATACTTATTGTTAAATATGACTTACTTTCTTTATCAATTTCACCTTCCATATCACTAATTATAGCATTAATATATTTTTGTTGTTCGTTCATAAGTTTTTCTTCAAATATTTTTTGATCTTGGCCATGATAATGTTTTAATATTTTTTCAGCCCTCTGTTTGAATTCTATTTCATTCTGCAATCTTAATTGTATTATTTGTTTAAAATTATAATTTATAATTGCTATTAGTATGATTAAGTTACTCTATTTTTGATTGTTTCAATATCGTTCGACAGTTTTCATTGTTTTTTAAATAGGAAACAAACTTCGTGATTTCCTTTATGATATCAATTGAATTAGTATCATTCATGATTTCACTTTCTATTTGGTTCAGTTCTATATTCTCTATATTCCCTATATTCTCCATATAAAACTGTAAAATTAGAAATTTTTTTGTAAAAGTAAGTAATTATTACTCTTAATAATCAAAAATATTATACTTAATTGCCATAGATACTATTTATTTGGTAAACTATAACTGTGGTTGTCAATACAATAAAATGCATGTGTGCTATTATGGTGTTGATCTAGGGTTCTTTGAAAACTAATGTATTTAAAATAGAAAAAGTGTTGCATAACTATATATATTAGATGACTTTCTTTGAATATAATTATTTTTAATTTAAAAACATATAAAAACATTGCATTTTATTAGATAGTTGTTTAAAAAGGTGATTAAAGAAATTTGCAACACCTTGAACTATCATTATTGTTCATAAAGTAATCAAAATCATTTTTTCATTATTTGATGTAATGTTTTTATAGGATTTTTTTGGTAGGGAAGATTTTCGTGACTTAGACATCTGTTCAGTTGACCCTCCAGGATGTACAGATATTGATGATGCATTACATTGTATGGCTTTGAAAAATGGAAATTTCCAAGTTGGTGTGCATATTGCTGATGTCACTCACTTTATTAAACCTGGTACACCCATAGATCTTGAAGCTAGTCAGCGTGCAACTACTGTTTATTTAACCGGAAGACGTATTGATATGGTACCAGGTAATATTTGATATTTGATTATACAACCAATTTGATATATTTAGTATCCAATGACAAATCGGTTTAATATATTTAATATATCTTAACCTTAAAATCCTAGTTTTATAAATGAACAATATATCTTAAGTATAAATATAAACTTATTTATTTATTCTGATTAGGATTATTGAGTTCAAACCTATGCTCTTTACGTGGAGGAGAAGAACGTTTGGCATTTTCTTGTGTATGGGAAATGACTCCAAATGCAGAAATAGTAAATAGTAGTTTTACAAAAAGTGTTATTAAGTCCAAAGCTGCTATGACTTATGAACAAGCACAATTGATAATAGACGATCAAAATCAAAACACTGCAATTGCAATAGGATTGAGACAACTTAATAAATTTGCTAAGATTCTTAAGAAACGTCGTTTGGACGCAGGGTATAACATTTATTCTGTAGTTAAATTAATTATTGTTGTTTTATTTTTTTTTTTTTATTGTATATTATTAAAAATATATTTTTAGAGCATTGGTTTTGGCATCACCAGAAATTCGTTTCCTAATGGATAGTGAAACACGAGATCCATTGGATGTGGAAGTAAAACAATTAAAAGAAACCAATTCAATGGTTGAAGAATTCATGTTATTAGCTAATATAGAAGTTGCTAAAAAGATATATTCAGATTTCCCTGAATTTGCTGTTTTAAGACGTCATCCCAAGCCACCTCCTTCAAACTTTGAATCGCTCATTAAAGCTGCTGCACATTTGGTATAGTAGTATAATATACTTGAGCACACATTTTTGTCACACATACTTAATTAAATTTATTTTAGGGTGTAGAATTAAATGTGGACACTAGCAAAGACTTAGCAAATTCTTTAGACAAAGCTGTTAAACTTGACAACCCATTTTTCAATACCATGCTTCGTATTTTAGCTACTAGATGTATGTTACAAGCAGTTTATTTTGCTAGTGGCACAAAAACTTATGATGAATTTATGCATTATGGTTTGGCAGCACCGATCTATACTCATTTTACATCTCCTATTAGAAGGTATTTCTTAAATAGATTAAAACAATTTTATTCAAATCGAAATTCAATAGATAAATATTAAAATTCATTTTTTATTTACAGGTATGCAGATGTGCTTGTTCATAGACTTTTAGCTGTATCCATTGCTGCAGAGAATACTACTCCTGAATTACTTGACAAACGAAAAATTGATGCGATATGCCAAAATTTAAATGTTCGAACTCGAATGTCTTCGTACGCTGAAAGAGCATCTGTTGCTTTGAATACTCATGTAAATAAATCATATTTAAGTTAAAATATTCAGATTATAATTAAATATAATATTTACTCTATTAGATATTTTTCCGTGGAAAAATCCGTGATGAAGAGGGTTACATATTATATGTTAAAAAGAATGCATTACAAATACTCATACCAAAATATGGTTTAGAAGGTACTCTTTTCTTATCACCACGTAAAGGGCAATTGCAAATGGTTACATTTACATATAACGAAGAGGTAATTAATTTATGACTTAACTTTTGGTTAAAATTTCTAACTAAAAAATAACATGGTTGATGTTTCTAACATAATTAATTTTTATGAATATAGGAACAGACTCAGAGATGTGGACAAGTAGTTTTTCGAACTTTTGATCCAGTGACTGTTCAACTAAGTCTCGACAGCAGTAATGTTCAACATGAGAGGATTGTGTTAAAGCTGGTCAAACCAGAGATACCAAATTTTAGTATACCATCATCGATTGCAAGTACAACTACTGTTCAGCAAACACAGAAAAATCCAAAACCATGTGATTCTTCATCTGAACCATTATGTAAAAAACCAAAAGTTTAAACTAATTACATTTAATCATTGACATCTTACATTGTTGTATGAGGCTGTATGCACAAGTCATTCTGTTTGGCCACTAACAACAATAGAACTGATTTGATTTTTTGGACCAATGAATAAATTATTTTTTATACAAACAATAGAAGATTCAATTATGCTTAAATGTAATGTGTTATTATGTTATTATTTATTTCTTAATATATGTTTATTAGATTTTTCTTACACTTGCTGTCCTAAAAAAAAAAAAAAAAAGAAATCTAAATCTGTGAAGTTGAATTTCTAGATAATATATAAGCAAAAATCAAATCAACTCATGAAAAACATTTAACAAATCTGATCTTACCATTATTTCTTTTAAGTCGATAAGACAATAATTTTTTTTTTTTAATCAATCCGATTTTAGAATTGGAATTATATTTGTATGGCAAATAATTGAATACGGTGCTGCAGTTGCGTTGCCAGGTCCGCTCCGACCTATTTGGCCGTCCTACATTTTTGGGCCAACTCGTTTTTTTAACACATCGCACATCTGGTTAGCGCCACTCTGGGCATCACCACCACAGTGTGTACTCGGCTATTATTTATCACCATCACGCAGAAACGTTAAACATCTAGATCTATATGTCGTACTGTAATGCTCATGGTAGGCGTGAATGTTTAAACCCCGAAAAACACATGTTTTCAAGAATAGAGTTTCAGCCGAGTGCGCGCCTATATGATATATGTTTTATAATAAATACTCCCACGTATTCGGATTTTAATTCGAAATAAACCTGTGCATTGCGACGGATTAGATTTGGTATTTGAGACTACACAACAAATAATGTCTAACGTGTAATATTATTATACAATATACCTACACTGTAATGAATGATAGTTTGTTCTGCGCAGGGCCGTATTTGAGGGGGGGGGGGCAAGTGTCCCTTGTTGCCCGGGGCGGCAAATTGTTTAGCTTATTAGGGGGGCGGAAATTTTATATTGAAATATGGCGTATCTAATAACAAAAAAAAAATGTTTTTATATTTATTTCAATACATTTATTGGAAAAACTATTTTGATAATTATTATTTAATATTAAACTAGCTTCTGTATGCATCGCTCCGGGTGAAATTCGCTTAATATTACTTTAGTAATTAATTATTAATATTAATAAAATTATATTAATAATATTCAAAACACTATTATGTAGATACAATGTATCATGCAATAATACCACGGTTACTACTCGTGATAATTATTACTATTGATAATATACGGTTGGAAAACTGATACGCCTTCGGTGTCAAAGGCGTTCGCTATCTAGGAGACACCCACCTAATTGTTTTCTTAAAAATATTACGGTACCATACTTATAGTACTATACTTACAATCGATACACGGTGTCAAAAACCAATATAATATATGTATAAAACATTATGTTTATAAAAAAATCAAATAGCAGAGAGCAAACTGCAGTGTATTTTAAAATAATCAAGAATAATAATAGTACCCGCAGAAAGTTATGTGTCTCCTCATCAACTGTTAAAGATTAAATATGTGTATTATTTTTATATTTAATAGACGGGCAAAGAATTTAAAAAAAAGTATAAATATGCATATAGATCTTGATATTTCAGTTACAGAATAAAATATATATTTATGTTTACAAAAACATTTTAAGTGTCTTCTCTAGTAACCTAACCTATAGTATAACGAAGGGGCACATTTATTAAAAGTATGTTATATACAACAATTTATAAGTCTCATAAACGCTAGATAACGACATTTTTCAAAATGTGGAATTATGAGAATAAAAACACGTTTAAGTACAATATAGTCGGTTAAAAGAAAGACCTAAAGCATAACGAATTATATCAATAATAATTAATGAATATTTATACAAAGTGAATCTGACCACAAACTATAAGAATGGGGATAGATCTTCCTAGATGTTGTCTAAAAAAAAAAAAAAAAATTGTACGATAAGTGAATACTTTTTAATAGGTGTGTATACATAAATGTTGGCGTTAGTTACGATTTACACTCTAAACGTTCTTAGTGAAAAACATATCCAAGAAAGACCACGTGGAGGTCGCTAATCCCTTTCTCACATTCAGAGAACTTAAAAGTACTCATCGTCAATAATTAAAAAATATACAGAATGAATATATAATAATATAAATAATTTATGAAAGACAAAGTGTGGAAATTTCTTGTAATCAGAACATATATGTGCTTTTAAGCCAAAAGAACATGTGAAGATAATGTATACAAATATGAAACATAACATAATCAAAGCAAATATATTTATTATTATATAACATTCCAGTAATATACTGTTTAAGTAAATAAACTATACTAAGACTATAATATTTTCTTACAATATTATTTGGAGAAAAGTGTATTAATACCCATAAATATGCATTATATTGTAAAATAAGGAAATTATTTTTTCTGATTATATTATTTTGTAACATTAAATTGAAAATTGTATATATAAATCTATATATAAAAATTTTTAGAGGCTAGAGTTTATTTTAAGTAGGTACTTGTACAAGTATTCCGTGTAAATTATATTTCATTACACAAAAAGATTCGCTATTTAAGTTAATACAACTGTTTAAGACATGGATGTAGTGAGTTTTTCAAGATTATATATAATATAGATTAGTAAGTATTTACTTTGTTTAATTTTAATATTTTTTTATAATTTACCTATATTTTATATGTGGGGGTATGATAATGAGACTTATATTAGTCTAAGAATGGGCTTCGCATATTATATAAGATGGTTGGCAACATTTTCTATGGACTAGAACAATGTTTACAACAAAGTGCCTTATATTTAAAGAAAATAACTTTTTTTGTGGGGGGGGGTTATGGAAGGGTGGCTAAAATATGTTTTCCCGTGGCGTAAAATGTCCAAATACGGCCCTGGTTCTGTGGTGTAGCATATCATCATAACTGCGGTAGAGCGAAACGATATAGATCGCCACTAATGCTCTTCAAAGTGAAAAAATAGCAAAAAACTTTTTTATTCCTCAAAATACTTGACTGTTAAAAAAAAAAAAAAAAATGACTTGTATTTTTATCAAGACCATCGTAATCTGATCTTCCAGGAGCTTACAGCAAAATTATTAACATTTAAAAACAATGTATTTGAATGATCGTTAATACACATCTGCATGCATACCTTAAAAATCATTTCTTTGAGTTCTCAAACTCGAAATATCTCCGATTTGAGGACAGCAAGTTGTGCATTTTGGCATGGTGCGTCAGATTAACCACTGCTATCATAATATACAAAGCAATAGTTATAATCAACAATTATTATTCATTATTGTTATATTAGTCTGGCATACATTAATATCCGACACGGTCTCCATCGTTATTTTATCTCTTACATAAAATAAAATTAATCTTGCGAATCATATTTAAAAATATCTGAAATTGTATTATAAATGAGGAATATACAAAAAAATTGCATTAATTTATTCTAAATTTTTTTAGATTTTAATGAATTTTTATTAGTAGATATATTAATTATTTTTAACAAACGAGTTTATAACCTACTTAGCAACAAATCCGAAAATTAGAAAAAAAGTTACAAATCCAACCAATTGCGAGGCCAAGTGATTATAATATTTTCTTGTTTTCTAATTCATACATTTTTTGTACCTGTTACGGAGTATCATGTGACAGTTATGAATTTTGTTTATCAAATGGGATAATAATTTTGTTTTCATACGCTAGTAATTTGGTTAATTTTTCTGGAATTTTAGATATTAATCGATCGTCAGGATCGAAAATTTCGAACAACGCATCTATGGTGTGATTCCTTTGCTCCGTGTCGAATAAAATTATTATCGATCCTTGATGGTAGGTAAATGCGTTTTCCACGAATCGGAACTCGAACTACCCAAGCACTAATAAAAGTGATTAAAATAAAAATCATTCTGTACAATTAATACGTGTACGTGTAACGCGGTAATTCTTTATTTTTATTCTCTGTCTTCGTTTAATCTTATTATTATTTTTTACTTTTTTTTACGCGCTTTTTCCTACGCGTGTCGCAAACGTCCCACGGACGTTGTGTCAACGTTGCGTTCGAACGGGACTTCGACCATCGATGACGGCGATACGTTTTCTGCGGACGGTTACGTTTTGACGGATACTTAAATTTTTTTTATTTTTAATTTTCACCTCCCGTTGTACACATCTTTCCTCACCTCCTGGAAATCGTAATCGCAATGTACCGTTTCGTCGCCCCGTTCGCTGGTCCGTCATCCGTGCGGTAGAGGTGTCTTGCAACATTACCGGACTGGTACGTCCCGCCGGTAAGTGGATAGCAACGTGGTAAGTAGACCAGTTGAGGGCGTCCCTGAGTTGGCTCGCCCCTGAACGTGTAGTTCTACCGGAACGGAAACGACGGATCGTCCGCGAGTTTTTCACTCGGATGAAGTCGATTAACCTAACCTAACCTATCCGAACACACGGGATACAACCGTTGAGTTTGACCACTTTCGGTCGTTCCGGTGCGTTCGTTGCTCTCGCTTTACCCGGGAACGTTCCGAGATCAAAGCTTGTCTAACGAGATCGCGTTTTTTTCATCCTTTTGCTAGAATCCAAACCCGTAGTAGTAGTGAGTTATAGAAACATATTTTTCCGCGTACAAATTAGTAGATTGGTGTGTGGGGGGGTGTAGACTTACCTGCAGGTCTACGTTATCTCCATAATTATAGCTCTCTCCCCTCAAAAAAAAAAAATGTTATCTCTAGTTGCGCCTGTGTATGTATGCAGATATATGCGGATATAAGGGGAGGGCTATGGGGGTTGAACCCCCTCTTGGACATTAGGTAGAACTATATCGGACTTGGGTACTTAAAATGTTTAAAGAATTAGACTAAGAAAGACTTCGTACAAATGCACAACGAACTATGGCGGTTTTAAATATTTGATAAACTTGATTTTCTGAAGTAGAACTTTTTCGACAACTCCTCCACGTTTCACCATTGATTACAGGCTGAACCGTAGAACATAGTTATATCGCATTGGACGAGCTAGTTCCCGCGCGATAAACAACATGAGTTTTCTATGGTCGTTGAAGAAATTGTTCAGCCCCAAGAAAAATGAAAGTCACACCGAAAGCCATCCGGTAAAAGACTTGGAGAAGTTCAGGCCTGT